AAAACACAATATGATAGCAGCAGTTAAGCACTCACTCTAATCACTTACTTTCCCTGCTGCAGCCGTATCAGCTGTGAAACCGCATTGCGAATGGCACTCCTCTTCTTGAGGCGAGTCGAAGAGGCCAGTGGATCCTTTTGTCGTCGAACAGCCAGAGAGTGGGGCCCGTTCCACACCGACAAGGTGTTATGATCGTTGGCAAACAGGGTTCTGCACAGCCCAAGAATCCTGGGGTTTTCCAAGTACCACAGCTTCTCCAGCATCTTGGCTTTCTGATGCTTGTCTAGCTTTTCCTCCTGCATCATCATCATTCATCATCCACCATCAATGGCATACACTTGACAGAATTGAGGACAAACACTAAGAAAAGAATATATGGGCTTGACTCTGTGAAAATTAAGTAGAAGATTTTTTTCGACAGAGGGAGTCTTAAATACTAAGAAGCAAGAGAAGTAAATTTTCTCATTTTGATATAGTCCACTATTATGTCCATTGCCAATAGAATGAAATAAGTCGTTTTTACATTTCTTTCTAGCTTCAAGGTGAACAATTGACTAAATCAGAATGACAGCTTAAACTTTCCTTGCTTCTTAAGTTTCAATGAAGTTTTGGGTAGTAAATGCAGCGATGCATCAAGAGTCTAAATCACAAGCCATTCACCCCTTCTTGGACTCTCATGTTTACCAAGTGTGAAATAACTCCTCCAACATTCTATCATATTAGTGACGTGTAATATTCCTAATTTATAATGTCGGCACTTTGAAAATACCTTGGGCTTCGGTTGTTCACTAGCGGCAGTTTCGCCACCTGTCAGCAACGCTTCTTTATCATTGCGACTCGGCACATCATTGCCACACTCCACAGTTTGCTTTTGATGTTTTGTACGATCGTCTTCAATAGATATTCTAGACGAAACACCCAACAGCTTGACATCTTCCTCTCGGTTGTCTTCATCATTTTCACTTGTATTAGCTGCTAACTTTGCCTCCTCTTCTACATTCGCGTTGGAATCTATGTCCAGTTCTGGAGGAGAATTCTCCATGTTTGGGGATGCGTACTCACAGCCACCTGCGCTTTCTGCTGCAGCTGTAAGTTCCTTTATAGGAGAAAAAAATATTCCAACGTCAAATATAGAATAAGACAAGTGGATCGACAGACAGTGAGACATAAAATATTGTATGCAATTAGAAATGGGAAGAATGGTCACAACAACAGAAGAGAATAAATCAGGAGGGGCCAGTAGGCAGCTAAAGATTAATTTATTTTTTTTTTTGGAAACATCATATCACTTCTAAGTAAAGATAAGGGCTGCATACAAACACCCTCCTGGCTCCTAGACCCTACCCTACTCTCCGTGGTAATTTATTGGGTTTGCTTATTGTTATACACTAGTCACTTCAATAAGCGATTGCCTGAAATTTTAAGGGTATGTTTGGTTTTACCAAGGAAAATGCAAAGAAGAATGAAATATTATACGGAGTAAGATTTCTTTTATATATTGTCATATATCAAGTCTTCAATGAGTTTCAACATATCTCAATTAAAGGTATTGAATTTTAGCATCTTTTATTTTCCTTCACACTGTTTTACTTCCTTCCAATTTTCCTGTACAATAGCACATCTCGGATATCTGATATTGGAAAAAATTAGGAAACATATTTACCTCCGGCCTGACCATCTCATAGTCACTACTTGCAGCTTCGACCTGCTGCTCTTCCAATATTTTAGCAGAGCTCTCCTCGCGTTCTTGCCTCCGGCGTATCATCACACATATGGCACATAGGCACCCAGCCTTATGCTTCTTGAGTCTGAAAAGCCACCCATGATAAAAATCAGTGGAAAACCGTTACTATATTTTAGGTACTAGAGCAACAGTAGCAGCAGCAGTACAAGATAGCATAATCAGCACACACCCTTGAAGCTTTCTTGTCTTAATGTTACTCGAGGATCCACCTTTCAATTGTTCTGTCCCATTGCTGTCAGGTGGTGTCACATCCTTTGTTTGACTGCTTTCAACACCTGCAGAGCAGCGCAAGAATAACCCGTGTTACAAGTTATTTAGAACCCAAATATAATTACATATTTTAAAAAAAACATATATAAAAAGCTTTAATATGGTGTTATAGCTACCGTGTGTGTAGTCACTGTATAATCCAGATGCAATCCAATACTTTGAAAAGTTCTTTTTCACGCGTTTCATGAGATCCAAGACCAAATCGCCTTTATTGTTGTACTTGTAGCAGTTATCCCATATACACTGCACATCCTTATAGACATCTTCCGAGTTCAAGTACTTAACCCCACTTTCAAGATTGCCACGTATTGTCCCAAAATCCATCGGTGTATCTATAACCTCAAAATAGTCCTGGTTTCACCACAGCACAAAAACTATTGGTCACCATACATTGTGTGTGTTTGTGTGTGTGGGGGGGGTCACATAATAACGGCATCTCTCTAGACAGATATAGATGTGTATATACTATACACTGTTAAGAAATATGAAGTGAAAAGAACACAAGAACTCTTTATTTAAGGAAATATTGTGACAATGTATGACACCAAACACTTGCAAATAATTGGCAAAGGGGAAAGGAAAAAACAAACAAATAGCCCAATATGTTGATATTATTTCAGCATTACAAGCAACAAAAGCCCTTAAGCATCTTGATATTTGCAAGGATGAGGCTCACATAACAAAAAAACGCTAATCTCAACAGGCTTAGGATCACTAATACTCTGTATCACATAAGAAAGGGTTATTGTGCCAATTAAGTCAAATTCTATGGTAAAACGATATTTTCACTAAAGGTCTAAAGAGTATTATGGAAAATTAGTACAACTATATATTATTACTCCACATTATAATACGTGTTGCAGTAAAATGTTATTCTTACAGGAATTCCAAGAGCAATAGGATCAACTGGAGTATTGAAAGGCTCTGCTGCATCCATTTTCATCACTTTCTTTATAACCTAAGAACGTAAAAGACAATCTTGACCATGGATAACACGTCAGGATATGATTAAAAGAAAACCTAGTTCAGGCATACCTCCAGTGCAGCATCTAATTCCTTCTTGTTATATCTAGAAGAATCCTTGGAAACTGAGAGAGACTCTTTTTTAGGTGTCTTCTCCCCTTTCAGTGTTTCAGTGTTAATACATGGGCTAAAGTTTGAGCTGAAGCTCTTTGACTTAATTTTGATACCCGCAGACTTTCTAAGTAAGTCTCCTCCTCCTCCTCCTCCTCCTCCTTCAGATGGACTCACATTACTATTATTATTATTCGCCTCGGACAATGAGTTGTTGGCACTATCTGCTTCCATTTTTTCACTAGAAACACCTTCTTGTTCCTCTGGCTGCTGGCTGCTTTTCTCAGCAGGGGGATGAGTTTCTGGAGAACCATCAAGTAATAAAGTTTTAGAAGTCTTGATCTTGACCTTGACACGCCTATAAACTGCTTTCACTGTAGTGCTATCACCGAATCCAACAGCACTTGTTGTAGTAGGTTTTGGTGGGGCTTGATCAACCAATGCCACCACCGCAGTAGATGTTGGTGGTGCTTCTTTCTCCTCCTCTCCTCCTTTGTCTCGGTCTCCATCTCCGTCTCCACCAGAATCTGAGCCAGAACCACCACTGCTCTCTGCCACCGCATCTGCCACCTCCTCCACCCCCTCTTCCACAACCAAATCATCATTTTGAGCATTCACGTCCACATCCATTGTCGTCACTTTGGGCTTCTTCTTAGCTTTGCCTTTCTTACTTCCCCGCTTGCGCTTCATTTTTCTCTCACTAAAACTAAATCCATCAAAGACACCATTTTTAGGTCGAAATTTCCAGACCCAGAAAGCTAATACGCGTGAAAATTAACATCTGGGCATTAAACCTCCAACAAAAAATCAATCAAAGACACATAATATTCCTAAAACATAAACCCTAGAAATCAAATAACGCCCAATCCCGATACCCGAAAGAGTAAAAAAAAGAGGAAAATATAAACATCAATAAAGATTATTGTACACATTTTTTTCATAAATTCTTGGAAAACTGAGGTTAAATGCTGAACAATCGGAGCACGCCGGAGACACGAGTACTACAAATACCTGCTTCGTCGCTCTCCGGGCTTCAAAGTGACTGTTAAGTTCGGTAGAATCTCGTTGATCTTTTATATCGTTGCCTATGAAATTTCTGGTTTTTTGATTCAGAGGGAAATTCGATTCCCAATTTTTGTCTTTTAATTTTATTTATGTTGTCTCTCTTGACGTCTTCGGCTCTTCGAGGAGTAATATTGATGATGGGCAGGAGGAATAAGCTGGGCTCCGTTTCTATCCAAAATCGATGGGCTCCGTTCGATTTTATACATAAGGTCTTAGCAAACCTATTGCTTGTTGGGCTTGGGTTCGGTTTTTTTGTGTGTAATCGATCCATAGTTTGTAGATTTTTTTTTAATCGGTAGTTTTTGCGGAGTAAAAATTAGTGGTTATCTAATTGGGATTTTAAAAAGTTATTTAAAATTTAAGGTGTTCAATTTAGATATAGGTTTCGTTTGGCATAAGCGTAAGAGGTTAGCGTTAGCATTTTGAAACAAGTTATCTGACGGTAACCTTTAACATTAGTATTTTCAGAAATGCTAACATTAATCGAAGACGATGTTCCCAAACAAGGCCATAATAGAAATTATTTTTTCAATTCAATTTCATATCTTCCAAACTTAATTTGTTCTCCATATCTAAGTGTGTTTAATGACTATTGTACCCACTTTCATAGACAAAATCTTGGAACTCTATAAAAATGATTGTTTTTAGCACACCATGCAAACTAACCATTTAGAAATTAGAACAAAATTGCCTATTGCCATCAATAGATTTTTCATTTCTTGTTGTGGCATAGACGTTTTACTTCTTCTTTTTATATATAAACAATTACCCTCAACAATCAACACATTTACTACCTTTTACCCCACATTTACCAAAGGAAAATACTCAGGTAAGAGCAGTTATATAACTTCACTTTCACTCTTTAGTTTTGTGCCAATTTCACATGAGGAGATTTTGGGAACTTCATTCCTCACTCGGGTTTCTCAAGTACAGAGCAACTCTTGGCGAGCAAGAATATAAGAACCAAATCTGCTGAAGTTAATGGGGAAAAAAATAGAGGAAATACAATTGTTGGAGTTAAAATGGTTTGGACGAAAATTATGATAAAATTGTGACAATAGTAGTGATATAACTTCTTGTTACACAATTCTTCACACAAACATAAACAAGGGTGACAAGATTAAGATTGTTGCCCAGACTCTGGGTGTCCCTGTCCTTGCTGGCCTGGTCCTGGTGGCGGCTGTGGCTGCTGCTGATGTGGCACTTGGCTTCCACTGTGAGGTGGCGGTCCCTGTCCCTGCGGAACTGGCGGTCTCTGCTGGCCTGGGCCTGGCGGCGGCTGTGACTGCTGCTGATGTGGAGCCTGGCTTCCACTGTGAGGTGGAGGTCCTTGTCCTTGCGGAACTGGCGGTCTATGGTGGCCAGGTGGCTGCTGTGGTGCTTGGCTTCCACTGTGAGGTGGATGTGGTTGCATTGTAGCCTGATAAGGTGGAGGAGGATGAGGGTACTGCTGATAAGACTGTGGAGGAGGGGGAGGCATTACATACCCTCCATATTGTTGTGGTGGATAATAAGGAGGATAAAATTGACCGTGCGGTGGTGGCCCCGGGGGAGGAGGATAAGCAAAAGGGTGTCCACCTTGTGGTTGTTTATTTTCGCCTGACCCTGAAGCGGACCCATCATGCGATGAGGAAACACGGGCTCCCATTCTTTGAGGGTCCATAGATGGATACAGTGCCGCTGGCTGGGGTGGCATCGGCGGAATATTGAAGTAAGGAACAGGCGGAGGTGGGTCCACCTGCCCGCCCACCTGCTGCTGCTGTGAAATGAGAGCCCTTGGCAACAAACCGCTATGAGCCACGCTGGCGGCTTGTTGTCTTGCCACATCAGCAGACAACTCAGATTCGGGGGGTTTTGGTGCCTGTGGTCTTCCCCAGAGTAGTTTTAGCCTCAATCCCTTCACGACCAGCTTGTTTGCAAGTTCCTCAGCTGCCCTCTCTGCACCTTCTCTTGCAGTATATGTTATGAAAGCACATCCGCGCTGCAACACCATTTTTACAGACTCAATCTCACCATGCGCGTAAAACTGATCCCGGAGGTCCTGCTCGGTAATTCTTGCATCAACCCCACCGACATATAGTGTCCTAATACTCTCGTCGTCTGGGGGCTCCAATGATGGCATTTCACCTGCCTTGCCTAGCAGTTTCAGTGCAACAGGATCATTCACTCTGCAAGGCATTCCAAAAAAAGAAAATCAAATTTAGAATTCATAGTGTGTCATCAAAACTATCTATTAAGCACAAATGTGAATTCCTAAAAAAGCTCTATATCAATAAGCCATTCGTGCCCGCATCAAAAGTTCTAAAAATCAAGTGGTGACAGACTATTTTATTGTTACAATTCATTAAAGTAAAGAAGATGATAAGTAAAGAAGATGATATGGTTTTACCCATTAAATAGCAAAATGTAAAGTTTATTTAGGGACGGAGTAGTACTTGGTAAAAAAGACAAAAATCAAGCCTACCCATACAGCAATATATCAATATTCCTAGAAAAGAAAAAGGCAGAATGAAAGGACACGACGAACAAAATTCAAGAGGATGAGAGGTAGATGTATAGCTTCAAAAACTTCATGCACCAAGTGTGCATTCTCGTGTTTGCGTCAATTATTATATTTTGAGTTTTATAATTAAGAAGCAATTATGTATACCCATAGTAACGGTCTTTAATATTCTGCTGTGACAGTTCTCCTGTTTCAGGCATCTCGTGCCTGTAAGGGCACTCCGAACCTCTTGTGCATTGACCCCGAACATAAAAACTGCAAACATGTGCTCGATTTCTCTTGTAGTATGGGGTCGTTCTTTGAAGCTTCAAAATAGTATCATTTGGACGGACTTTCCCATAAGATGACTCATAATCTATCCCAGCTCTTGCCTGCCAAAAGCAATTAAAAATGCTGAGTAAGAGTAATGCACCCAATAATCAGTAAAAAAAGGCAATGTTTCCTATGGTTTCAATTTCATATTCCCATTCTCTCTAAGCTTCTAAAGAGAGATGGTCAAAGCAATTGCATTACTTGCATAACCAAACATTTTTTTTACCTATGTAAATTTAAGTCATAGGTTAGTCTAAAAAATCTTAGCCTTCAATGTTTTTTACAGACAGTTATAGAATAAATTTTTGCTCTAGTGATAAACAGCTAATTAAAACATAAAGTGAGTTTCCAGCTAGAGAATTACATACCCTGCGGTCATGCTCTTCGGCAAAGTATTCTCTGTTCACATCACTCTTTGGAATGGCATCGTTGGAATTGATACTAAGTGCAGTGTCTCGGACCTGAACTGGCAATCCATATTCAAGATCCAAAAGGCAGACTTGGCAAACATTCTTCAACTTGCTGCAGGTTTGGCATATCTCTGTTTTCTTGTATCTTGCATCTCGACCAGGCCTCCACCTGAAGACAGTGAAGGGGCGAGTGCAGATCTTGCATTCCTTGTCAAAATTGGATTTAGTCTGAGATCAAACAAGGTAATGGAGTTGATTAGTTTACATGTCATCCTGCCTATTTCATGTTGTCTCTTGAACGACTATGAACCACCAATTTGTGTTTCTTTAATGAGAAGAACAAGATTTGCCAAATTATTTGACAGAGCTCATCAATGTCCTAAATTAGGACATTATCATAAAGAGTGTGGCTTAACTGATCTAAATTACATTTTCAGGTTTCAGAAAGCTGTCATTCTCATAATATTTCATATCACCAGTTTATATTCAATTACAGGAATTCTTACTTACCTTGATAAATTTGTTTTAGTTTCCTATAGAACCTTAGTAAATACAAGCATATACATTTAAAAGGATGCCAAACATGAGCGAAAAAGCAAATCCCCCAAGGTATTTGGTCTTACCAGAAAAATAATGCAACAAAAATATAACTACTACGGCCAATACAAACAACTCCACCCCCCTTCAAAAGCATACAACTAGAAAAGTAATTAGATAGTTACCATTCGAACATATGGGCTGTCACCGAGACAGGACTCACATATAATCGGAAAGTCGGACCGTTCCCACCCATCAGCTTCAACGTCTCTCAATAGCCTATGAGCCATGAGCCTGCAATAACTAATCAGTCAGATTGTCAAAAGTATTTAACTTTCTTATCTACATCAATCTGTAACGATTAATTAATGGCAATAATTATGATGATGCAGATCGGTTTGCCAATTTTCTTGACAAAACTGACTCAAGTGGAAGAAGTAACAAAGATAAAATTAGACTATCCAGCAGAGACGCACTTGTGCTTATTGCTGAAGTATCTGCCATATTTTTATAGCAAAAAGCTCAAGAGACCATTAACATATGAAATCACAAAATCGAAGAAAAAACGGATAGGGAACATGAAAAATAAGACGTGTAGCGAGGTGTTTCGCATGCATCTTCAAAAATACAGAGCTAATTGAATGAAGATCTGTAGAGCAGTGTTTCGTGTTCTTTAAATCTTGACCATATAAAGACTCATCAAAGGATAAGCATCAAACAACAACTGCGTTTCGTATCTAGTCAATTGAAACAATACATCACTGAAAAAGCGAAGGCTTGAGATTGGAGGAGGAAGAAGAAGAAGAAATACCTGAAAAGAGGGATGAGGGATGGATACTGAAACACCACTCGAACAAAAGGCGAAAAGAGATCGATGTATGGAGGCTGGGAAGGAAGAAAGAAAGAAAGAATGGGCGTAAGAAGGAATAATAGTCGACAATTATAAGGTACATCCGGCTGTACCGTTTTTTCGGTACAGCCGGCAATTATATCGACGGAAGGGAAGGCGCACCTACGAAGAAGGGACCGGCCGATGCAGCGGAAATAGAAGTTGAATGCCGTGGAGGCTGCGTGGAGGAGGCCGCAATCGGTTGGTGGAGGCTGCGTGGAGGAGGCAGCGATCCGTTGGTGGCGGCTGCGTGGAGGATGTGGGATGAAGGTGATGCGTGGGAAGTTGCAGAACCCTAGCCAGATCCGCAAGGCTATGGTGCAGGACTGCAGGATGGGTTTTTTTTTGTCAAATTTGAAGAAAATAGGGATTAAGCAATACTATCTTACTTCTTTCTCCCCAAATTATTTGCCACATTTGCTTTTTCAACAGTCGCGGGAACTTTTGTTTATTTCTACGTATTCATTGGTTATTTGATAAAATAAAATATTCTTGATTCCTCTTATTTCGAATAACTTTTCATGTAGTTTTTTGATATGTAATTTTTATTTTTTATTTCTTTACCAATATGTAAATAAAATGAATTGAAAAAAATTGATATTTTGTCTCGGTAATAGAAATGTGACAAATAATTTGGGACGGAGGGAGTACTATTTGAGAATGAGTATCGCTTTGTTTCAAAATGAATACTGCGGAGTATGTTATTTGTAAATGAGTACTAAATAAATGTATGAAAATGAGTACTACACTATTTTAAAATGAGTACTATTTTATTTCAGAATGAATATTACGTATTTAAAATGAACGTTTATATATATCTGAGAATGAGTACTACTTTACTTCAGAATGAGTACTACTCGGATGTACCTAATTCTAAGTACAACCGGTTGGGCCTCAATTCAAAACCAGGAAAAACTCCTATTCAAATTCCTAGAATACTATAGAGTACCATAATAGTTGGTATATGGTACATCCGGATGTACTTAGAAATCGGTACATCCTGATAGTACTTATTCTGAAATAAAGTAGTACTCATTCTTGTACAAATATAAACATTCATTTCGAAATATGCAGTACTCATTCTGTCAAAGGTAGTACTCATTTTTAAATAAAGAAGTACTCATTTTTACACATTTGTCTAATATAATTATAATAAATAGCGTAGTGTTCATTCTTAAAAAAACAATACCCATTCTCAAATAAGAAAATGTTCATTCTGAAATAAAGTATTGTTCAATTTTTTTCACAATTAAAAAGTTCAGTATCATCATCAACTTCTTCATCCATACCCTTTTCGTTGGATCTTCTTCTATTCGATTCGTTCCTACTCATTTATACTCTCTGAGCATGGAGAATTTTAAACCCAGGTTTATTCATGTTTGTATTGAATAAGAATATGATAATTCTCATAAGTGTTGGTACTTCTTCTCAAATCTGCTGGTACTCATTGTCATATATAATAGTTCTCATATATGTTCTGGGCATTGGATAAAAAGTTTGCAAAATTTACAAAAATACCAGGATGTATCTAAAGGAATGTACAGCTGGATGTACCATATAATTTGTCGTACCATAACAGCCTCTAAAGAATTGATTAAGAAATACTTTTAAAAAAAATAAAGAACCATGAATATTATTACATGTAAAAAAACATTTTGTTATACATGACTATTTATGTTATTTATTCTTAAAAGAATGAAATAGACCAACAAAAAATCCGTGGTTGGCGTGTAAGTTCCGATTTTTTAGCAGACAACAAAAAATCACATAAAATAGTTTATTGTCAACTTTAAATGGAGGAAAATAAAACAAGATTGTAATCATAGTAGAATAAATTGATACGCATAGTTAATTATAATATTTTAATTAGTTATATTATTACTTAGTAGTTATTTATTTTTATTCTTGATGGTTTAGGGTTTTAGTATGGGTCCGAACCCATTAGGTCAATTATGTTATCTGCGTTCTTCAAGTTCCAAAAAGGATGAGGTAGAGAACGATAGAAAACTTGGAGCATTTCTGAACTCCAAGAAAAGAGAGACGAGAGATTAATAGAATTTTTGATTATTGATTGATTGAATAATAATAACGAAGGGTTACAATATATAAAGAACGCAGAGAACATAATTGACCTAATGGGCTCGGACCCATACTAAAACCCTGAACCATCAAGAATAATAATAAATAACTACTAAGTAATAATATAACTAATTAAAATATTATAATTAACTATCCGTATCATAAATTTATTTAAATAAAACTAAAACATAGACAATATATTGAAATAAAAACTCCTTGGTTTTTATTTGTAAAAACTAATGTTCACATTATAAATTAAAGTGTTCGTACTATGTGCTGACATTTTATAGTATTTTCACTATTTTGACATCACGTTTTTATTTTATTGGCATTATAAATTTTGTTTTAGTATATATAGAAATAGGGAGCTACTAAATACATCCGCTAAATTGCTAAATTGGTTATTTAAAACATAAGATTTTAAATATTTAATCTTTTATGTTCAAATATTATGTTCATGTTTTTTGTTTATAGTTATCGTACTATAGATATTCCTTTTCTTTTACCTTCTGTCATGTCGGTATTAAATTATGGCCTAAAAGTGTTATTTCACATGAACCGTACATTCCTTTTTAACATAGCCAATGACAAAGGCACCTCATGATGTGTCGTTCATCTGCCATAGTTGTTCCACACCGCAACCATAGTCTGTAATTGTCATCGAACATTGTAAAGGAGATCTGAATTTCATCATTATGAGTGCATTGTAAAGCTCTAGCTTGTAAAACTCTCACTGTTTTAATAATAATTAGCCTACGCTGTTCCAACCCACAGTCTTCTCGTCATTCTTGAGTTTTGCGTGGTAGTTTGTTTCTTGACTTAAATTATCGTCCTATACTCAATCTAGAGTTCTTAGCCTGATCAACTCTTTTACACAATCAACAATAATAAATAGCAAATAAAAATTTAAAACAAAAAACAGAGAGTGATGGGTATAATAAATACCATGGTGTATTTTTGATATCAAGGGCAACTTGAGGAAGACTAGGAGAAAGAGGCCAGTGGGGGGTTTCGGGCTAGTGTGGCCGATGAGGTAGACCTTCACCGAGAATGACGTTGGGCAAAGAACAATGACCATTGCCGGTTGATTAGTCACCTTTTTGAACAGGGTGATCGATCAGGTTTTGATGCTTTTGTTGAATAAGTGTTTGAGTTCCCCGCCAAGCAGAAGGGGTGGGTGATTGGTCGGGCCTGGTCACCCACCAACCCTAGTATCTGAGAGATATAGGATGGGACCCATCACCAGTCAATCAAGAGATTAGTATAGAAAAGTTATTTGTCTTATAGTTAGATTTGGATTCCATCAAGATGTATTAATTAGACAGTGATGGATACTGCCCCCTCACCTATCCATGACTGGACAGCTTCAACTCACCTTATACGTCTCCTTTACTCTATAAATAGTTTGTGATATAGATAAGAGAAGGACATTCACTTCTATTCCCATAAAATTAAGTTAGTCTAAAGATAAAGTAAGAAATATATTCAGATTCAAAAGATTTATCCTAGATTAAGTCATACTTTGATGTGTTCTTATTCTAACTACTATTTATATGTCATCTTGCGTCATTGGTCAAGTATGATTGACCGAGCTAGTCTTTGGCTATTTACACCTAGTGGAATTTACATCATTAAATAATAGGTTTATTGAGAGTATTGTTTTTTGAAAAAAGGGCACTTGCTCCTCTGCTTGAAAAATACAGAAAAAGCAGAGCAAGTGTTATAAATGATCCCTGGTAATGTATGTTTTTTCTATTTTTAGTTCTTATTTATCAAATATTATAAACATAGTTCATATTGCTTTGGTTCTTTTCCATAGGTAGTCCTTCATCACTCATACTGTCATCTACTGTTAAATATAAAATAACTAAAAGGTAATTTTTCACCCTCACCTCTCATCAAACATCTCCCTTATCTTCGTATACGTCTATGTTTTTAGAGTGATGCGTTCAGATTATCTTGTGCAGAGAAAAAGAAGATAATAACTTTCGAGTTCTGCAATGAAGACGAAGTTTGTGCATAGGGTTCTGAGGGCTATCTGAGGATGGGGAGGGGTTTAATTGAGAGAAGGGGTATAAAATTACCTTTTCAACCATGTATTGGACCAGTAGATAACAACAAGAATGATCGAGGACTAATCATGGAACGAAACCAATGAAACAAAGTCTACGCTTGTAGAGTTTGTTGTACTTCCGTGGTTTAGGGTCCACATAATAAGTATGAACCTTTTCACATATTTCATGGACCTATAAGTGAATCTTTTCTTTGTGAAAAAAGTCCAACCCTTACATGGTATTTTTATATTAAAGTCCATAAAATAAGCATGACCTAGAGATCATATAAGAACTTCCAACGCTTGAAATACTCAATGTATTTTATAAGTAGGAGCTAAATATAGAAAATCAACTACTCCTTAATTAAGACCATTTTCAAAATTTATTAGAAAAAATAAGTGAAAAAACTTCTTTTGTCAAAAGTCATTGGGGCACCCCCCCCTAAAAAACTACATTTGTTAAAGGACAATGTTAGAAGTACATCAAAATTGGATACATCATTTGTGCATCAAGTATTCATAGACACACAGACACTTAATGTTTATGTGTGCTTAGACATTGAGTGTCTGTGTCTCTGAATACGTGTATAAATGGCATACCTCATTGTAGTGTACCCCTATGTTAATAATTTGTTAAAACTCACTATTGCTTATTATTCTACGAGTTAGATAAACTATATCTATTCGTGTTGGTTGTTCCCGAACATTACATAATGGACGCATGCATGAGTTGTTTGGATGATCTTAAGTCTGAGGCCTCAGAATTGACTCTCGGCAGCAACAATTTGAGAGTTTTATCCAACATAATAGTTATTTATACGCACCGAATATGAGACAACCTTTTTAATAATCATACTAATATTATATCATAATTTATCTTCTTACTATTATGTCTGGGCGGCGTGCAAGGACGCTCGAGGTGGGCTTTCCCCTTGCATAATGTGCAAACAAATCCTTTCATTTTATTCTGTACTTGACACTTTCTTTTTAGCTAAGAGTCAATTCAGTTGGAGGGAGAGTATTTTTTTAAAATAGGAGAAAACGATTATAAGAAAATTATTTTTCCGTTGTTTGGTAGGAAGAAAATTAACTCCCCCAAAATGATTTCCATTGTTAACATTAATATTTAAAAAAAATTGATTTGTGAAAATTTAAAAATACTTTAACTAAATGAAGGCAACGATGCAAGGTAGGCGGGAGATGTGGGGGATGTTGTTGAGGCAGGGGTGGCTGGGGGAGGCAGGGGCCCGTGGTGAATGGCGGGGGATAGTGGGGCAGGTGGAGAGTGCGCGGGGGATGATGTGGAGGAGGTGGGGATTGCCGAGGTTGGTCTTAGGTGGCTGGTAGATATGGGACATGTAAACTGGGGAGACGACGAGGGTAGGCGTCGGGGCGCAAGGGCGAGTGGCGAGGGAGCTGGTATAACAAGGTAGGGGGGGTGGGGCGTGGGGAGATTGGATGCGGAGCAGCGGATGTAAAGACTGAGTGAGAATATTATTTGAAAGCAAGTGGAAATTGTTTTTCCCTTGTTGAGAGGGAATAGATTTTTTATAAAAAATAATTTTTCTTATTTATGTTACCAAAGGTAAGAAATTAAAATTTATTTTTTGAGAAAATATACTCGCTACAAAAAAATACGGGTTTGATTTGTTTGTCAACTCCTACATATGTTGATAACTAATAAATAATAGTTTAAATAAGTAAATATTACTTCGTATAAGAATTTGATGTAACAAAACTACATATTAGAATGAATGCAATCATAATAAATTTATTTTATACTCCCTCCGTCCCACTGTCTTTGTCCACTTACCTTTTGGCACACCATCCAATGCACTTCTTTAATCCATTTTATCTTGTAATTTGTATATTAAAAAATTATATAAATTATATATTAATAATGTATATATTAAGATAAATCAAACAAGATCACACATGACTATATTTCAGCTTACACATTGAGAGAATTTGATGAGTCAAAGTACTTATATGAACAGTTCCAAAAGTCAAAAGTAGACAAAGACAGTGAGACAGAGGTAGTAATTAAATAAACTTTTTCTATACTTTGCCGTAAAAGTATGTAATAGTTTGACTAGAAAATAAAGCATAAGATTTTTTTTAGCGATTGGGAGTACTTTCACTTAAACCAAAAGTGTCTTGAAAGCCAAAAAATATGCGGTTTTAATGACATTAAGGCCCCGTTTGGTACACGAAATTCAAACTATGGAATTGGAATTGAGGATCTCAATTCCAATTCTCATGTTTGGTAGCACAAAAATTTTGTGGATTTGGAATTGGTAGTGCAAAAAATGAATTGGAATTGGTGAATTCAATTCTATGGAATTGAATCTCATGGAATTTTAATTCCAATTCAATTCCAATTTCATTAATTCCGTGTACCAAACGGACCCTAAGATTATTCTCAAAAGTGAAAGGCCCGAGTTCAAATTCTAGTGAAATACAACTTTTTGAGTAATTTACCTAAATATGACTAAAACATAATGACTTTCTCAAAATAGGACCATATGTTTTTATTTTCCAATGTAGAACCATTGGTCATTATCTATTAGTCATTATTTAACTAAATGTTCAGCATCATTTGGACATTAGTCTCCTCGCTAGTCATTATTAAGTCCTATTTAGGTAATAAAAAAGTTTAAGTCCTACATTGAGAAATGACTTATGTTTTAGTCCTATTCAGTGCAAATTTCACTAACTTTAATGTTTAAATATGTGGTAAAAATATACTTCCTCTGTCCCATAAACTCCTACTCCTTTCTTTTTTCTTTGTCCCACAAAGTTCTTCCCATTTTTATTACTTCCTCCGTCCTCATTTCGATTATAATTTTTTCTCTCTCCTCTCGAGAATTTTTGTTTGTTTACGTGATTTCATTAAGTATTTGATAAAATAAAATATTCTTGTCATCTCTTGTTTTGTAGAACTTTTGACGTAGTTTATAATATATAGTTTTTATTTCTTATTGATATACTGATTTGTAAATAAAATGATTTTAAAAAATGAGATATTTTTCTTTGTAAACCCTAATTTGTAATCGAATTGGGACGAAGGGACTAAAAAACTACTTTTATTCCTATTAATTTTCACCCTACATATCACATTATAACTTTTTACTAATGAATTACCCATGATATCTTATTTTTATTTGACCATCACATCAAGAGTATTTTTGGAAAGTCAATATAAAAATATTCTTTAATTTTTTTAAAAAATGAAAAAAAAACTTTTAAGGTGAAGAGGAAGTATATGAATAGATTTTAGGAGTGAGTGTTTGACAAAGACATCCAAAACAAATTTCAATGTACTTTTTATCATTCCCTCAAAAGTTGAGAAGTCTATTGAAAAAAATTATGAATGTGCCTTTTTTCCTTGTAGAGAGTAGAAAGTAGTAAGATCCTCTTCTCAACGTCACCCATATTTATATAAAAACAAAGATGAAAGAAGATAATCTTTGGATTGTGGTGCAAATGGCAATACGAATTTAGAGAGAGAGAGAGAGATAGAGATAAAGAGGGAACAGCAGAGCAATGGTGGCACTCTCCCTGACACTCACTCACTCACTCCCCGCTGTGAAAAAAATAAAAAGAACTGGCATTGATTGATTAACCCATGAAAAAGAAAGCGATGGTAATGATTAAAACTCGCCATTACCCTCACCTTCCACTCGCCACCATTTCCATCTCTCTGTTCCGGAGAATTGCAGAGGAGGAGAAGTAATATGCACGAGATTTATGGAGTTTCCAATTACCCCGCCTCCAGTCCCGACAACAAGCCCGAGAGGCCGCACTTGCTGACGACTAAATCCAAGGCTGTTTATGATAGCCCCAGGTCCGCCGCCGCCTCCGAATGCCTGTTCCCTGCTGACCCAGACTGCGTCTACGCCTCTTTCCCCCCTGCTCCTTCCAAACCGCTGCGGCACGAGCACAAACCGCCGAGTTTGAGCGGAGCTGCTGCTGCTGCTGCGGCGGATTCCGACATGCTCGAGCCCATGCTGCCCAGACTTAAACCCCCCGAGAGGGAACTGAATCCCTTTCCGGCTCCTTGCGTTTCCTCGTCAACATCTACTGCACCTGATAAATCTAGTAATGTACGAGAAACCCGAGGTTTTACTAATTCTTGGATTCGTGTTTTGGTAAGTCCCTTGCTTGACTTGTTGAGCTCCTACTATTTATCTGCACCTTAAAAGGGAAATTGGGCATTTATTTCGCCTCAGCTAAGATGATATATAGTCTAATTTGGCAATTACCCACTACATTATTTACTCATTCTAGTCCTACATTTAGTCTGTTTCCAGCAAATCATTCAATAATCTGATTGCCCTTTCATTATCTATCACAAAATAAAGATAAGGACAAATCTGCACTATGGTATTTTATTCCAAAGGAAGTATATATGCTATGTATATATATTCTGATGGTTCCCATTTTTTTATTGCAGCTTAGTGTAATTTGTATAGTTTCTGTATCACACGCAGTGTATTTGCGGGGCATAGTTGCTAAACTTCAGGTATTCGCTACGGCTCTGTAATCTCTGTTAAAAAATGAAATGTAATACCCGTAATATGATGCTGCATACTTTCCAAGAGTATTTGGTGTACTGTTTGGGTAGCTCATTTGGTTTAAGGTATAACGTTGTGACGGGGTTAAACATGTGATTGCAGGAGGAGAATGCCAGCATTCACATATTATGTAGACATAGCAATACCTTTAACAATGGCAGCATAGGCAATTCTGAGCTTGAAAATAATACCCCTCCTCTGTTGTACTTTGGAGATGCTAACCGTAGAGCTGCTGCTCTGTACACAGTAGTTTTTACCTTAATTACGCCATTTCTGTTGTTCAAGTATCTCGACTGTTTTCCTCATTTCATGATCCTCTCGAAGCTAACAAAGGTTAACAAGGAGGAGGTTCCGGTGAAAAAAAGGATTGCGTATATGGTTGATGTGTGTTTCTCAATTTACCCTTATGCCAAGCTCTTGGCACTTCTGTTTGCCACTTTCTTTCTAATTGGATATGGAGGTCTGGCATTGTATGCTGTCAGCGATAGGAGCATTACCGAGTCCCTTTGGCTCTCTTGGACCTTCGTAGCAGACTCTGGGAATCATGCTGACATGGTTGGCATTGGGTCGAGGATTGTTTCGGTTCTCATAAGTTCAGGGGGAATGCTTATATTTGCCATGATGCTCGGACTTGTTTCAGATGCTATATCGGAGAAGGTGGATTCTCTACGAAAAGGCAAGAGTGAGGTCATCGAAATCAATCATATTCTTATTCTTGGATGGAGTGATAAATTGGTAAATCTCTCAAGCATCTTACATGATTAACAGATATATCATAGAAGGTTTTCATGTGCTCGATGTTTGCTCACGGCTGCTTATTTCAGTCACTAAAATATGCTTTAAGTGGAAAAGAAACACAAATGAAGAACTTTAAAAAATTCACCTCTATATTAAAGTGTAGTAACAAGCCTTACACAAAGTTCCTAAAGCATTAACTGCAATGGATATCCTTCCTAACACGTGTGAATTGATATTGCATAATGCATACTCAGGGTCTTCACTTCATTGCATCCATTGCCAATGGAGCTAAAAGTGTCATTGTGACAATTTTTTAGCTTTGGGTAAATGATGGGCTATATCAAAATGGCCCATTAAACTTCCCATGCTTCCTACTTCCTATGAAGTTTTGGGGAGTGAATGGAGCAATGCACAAGTTTTTGTCTACCAGAAGCAGCCTCTCCCTTTTTTAACAAGGGTAAGGTTGCATGCATTTTGATCCCTAGACCCCAACGGAATTGGAATTATGCTATTTTTAGCCTGTAGGGTTGATTTTCATTTATGTCGTCTCCTCCAGGATACATGAATTTTTCCAACATAATCTGATCATTTATTACAGGGATCACTGTTGAAACAGTTAGCGATTGCAAATATGAGCATTGGTGGAGGGGTTGTTGTTGTGCTTGCAGAGAGAGACAAGGAAGAAATGGAGACGGACATATCAAAGCTAGAATTTGATTTCATGGGAACTTCAGTTATTTGCAGAAGTGGCAGTCCTCTCATACTTGCTGACTTAAAGAAGGCACGGAAACATATTGTTTTAAATTTTAATCCGATCTTCCCTCAGCCCCATTTCCAATAATTCCCCTTGTTAAATTAATTTTTCCATTTAAGCAATGCAGGTGTCTGTCTCAAAGGCCCGTGCCATCATTGTCTTAGCATCTGATGAGAAAGCTGATCAGGTTCAACACATTGCAAAGTTTCATTTGTGTAGAATCTGTAGACTATGTCTGGAGTAGCTGCAATGCCAAAACTAATTTGGTTTCAAACTTTTTCCGTTTTTAAGAGTGATGCACGTGCTTTAAGGGTTGTGCTCAGCCTGATAGGAGTAAAGGAAGGGTTGAGGGGTCATGTTGTCGTTGAGATGAGTGATCTTGATAGTGAACCCTTGGTGAAGCTTGTTGGCGGAGATCTCGTTGAAACGGTTGTTGCACATGATGTCATTGGACGGTTGATGATAAAGTGTGCTCTCCAGCCTGGCCTTGCACAGGTCAGCCCATTATAATTTATTCCCAATCTGCTGTTGCTTTCATCTCAACTTCATGACTTCGTACAAATTTGACGTGAGCATCTTTTTTTTCTTGAATATTTTCACGTGACTTGGGATTTAAGGCTTTGGTGTTGTTTTGAATATTTTCATGTGACATGAAAGATTTGGGAAGACATCCTGGGGTTTGAAAACGCGGAGTTTTACATTAAAAGATGGCCGCAACTGGATGGTCAATGTTTCAGAGATGTGCTTATTTCTTTCCCAGATGCAATTCCATGTGGAGTTAAGGAAGCTGAAAATGGTGGGCAAATTATTATAAACCCTGATGACAGCTATGTACTAAAAGAAGGCGATGAGATCCTTTTTATAGCTGAAGATGATGATACATATGCCCCATCTCCATTGCCTGAGGTCATATATTCTTCTTTAGACTAAATGGTTACATATACTCATGTGGCGATTGCAACATATGCATGATATGTATATCCAGCATCTATCTTGTTTATACGTTTCTCAGTCTTTCATTTCCTGTTTTTCTTGTTTTGTCCTGGAGGTTCTTCCATTCTAAGCCATAAGATGTTTGAGAGTTAAGACCCCCAATTTTTTTCTGACCCTTGTGCCACTTAGCTTTCTTTCTTTCTTTTGCCTCTCCAAGTTTAGGCAATAGACGGAACGTGTTTAAGGCATGACGACATAAATATGATGGAGATGAAAAAAGGGCTCAAGCTTGTCTCTAGCATACTCAATAGGTTTGGTTAGAAGTTGAAAGGCTCATTACGCCAACCGAGTTCAAGTGTTGAAAATTGGATTAGGTAGTTTTTGCAAGGGTTTTAGTTATACTAGCACGAATCACATGCACTGCAAAGTTCTAACTTCAAAAACATTGAGATCATTGTCAAAATTCAGTGTTTTGATACAAACTTGTTGGCCTTATCAAATCTAGTATTTTGTCTCTAGTACGACAACAACAACAACAACAACCGAATTGAATCCCACTAGCGTAGGGTTTGGGGAGGGTGTTTTACGCAGACCTTAGCCCTATCTGAAAGTAGAGAGGCTGTTTAAATTACTGCAATACTTGTTCTTCCCTGATTTATCCCATTGACCGACAAACTTTAATTTCTGTTGGTTGTTAATGTCAAAGTCAGTGAAAGAAAATGTTTTTTAATTTTTTTTAAAACAAAATTTATAGAACCCGATAATATTACTATTCAATCAAACAGCTTACAAGTTACAAGGAAACTGAGCAGAAGAAAAATATAATTCTGAACTTTTGATAGCCAAGCTTATCAAACCGAACAATATTCTTAAAGAGCAATCACCCCTCAGCAGATTTTCGACCGTCTGCTTCAGTCATTACTCCATTAGTATTATCAAAAAAGTTAAATGAAAGATCCCTCAGAGCTGTGGCTTAAACCCCCACCCCGAACAATAGTTTTTTTTAAAGTTATTGCACCATATTGTTTTTGAGAACTCTATTTGCCATCGGTGGGTTTCTGTCAAAATTTGCCATACACGCTGAGTGTGTGATTTTGCTCTCTTATATATCCTTTGCTTGTTTAGTGCAGATACATGGATGTGGTTTCCCCAGGATTATTGACCCTCCAAAATTTCCAGAGAGAATATTATTCTGTGGTTGGAGGCGAGACATTGATGATATGATTATGGTAATATATAGTTACATAGCAATGGCCTTTTTATTGCACTTGTGGCAACTATTGTACCCGATGTTGCAGAAATCATCAGCAAGTCCTAAGCTGGAGGACCACCACCTAGTGCTTAGGCCTACCTAGTCCGCCTTGCCTCTATAATATTGTTTCTATATCGTATATCATCTATCTCAACTTAGAACATATAAGGATTCGGTAGAAACTCTTGCTCCCTCCGTCCCAAAATAATTTATCCATCTTTGTCCATTGTCTTGATTAGATGTAGAAAAAAATTGAAAAGTGAGTGGTTAGAATTCGTTTAGAAGACGGAAAAGTATTTGTGTTTTAGACCATGTATTCTTTACCAAAAAAAGGAAAGAAAAACGCGGGTAATTTATTTTGGGACGATGAATAATATAATGAAAGTTTGTAAGTTATCCTGGGATGGAAGGAGTACATTCTTTATCATATCTTCTAAATTATTTGCCTTATTGCTCTACGTTATGTTCTTTTCCGGGTTAGTTTGGTTAGGTTTAGCTTGCTGTATTTATGTTTACTAGTGCTGGTTGTGAGCCATGCGATGCCTTCTTCTTATCTAGCTCGAGTGCGTGATATTTTCAGGTATTGGAGGCCCTCTTGGCTCCAGGGTCAGAACTGTGGATGTTTAATGAGGTCGTTGAGAAAGATAGAGAGAGGAGGTTGACTGATGGCAATCTTGATATCTCTAAATTAGTAAACATTAAACTTATCCATCGTGAGGGAAATGCTGTCATCCGACGCCATTTAGAAAGTCTTCCTTTGGAAACGTTTGATTCGGTAAGCTCAACTTATTACTCCACAAATACTTCGGGAGAAGTTGCGCGAAGACGTCTTTTTAAGATTCATACTCATTATTATGTGTTTTGTTAATGAGGTGCTGGTCACTAACTCTTAAAAAACAGATATTGATTCTTGCAGATGCATCTCTTGAAGACTCTATCGTTCATTCTGATTCCCGGTCCCTTGCCACCCTCCTCCTCATCCGAGATATTCAGGTCATCATTTCTTTATGCTCTAGCCAATAATATTACCGTTCATTTGTATAAAACTACATGATGAGAAAACACAACAATTAGTACCGATCCCAGACAGCCATTTGCTGATCGAATTTTATGAAGTGCAGTCAAAACGTCTTCCGTACAAAAATCCAAAATCAATGCCACTACGCCATGCTGCTTTCTCCCAGACATCATGGATTCGTGAAATGCAACAAGCGTCTGACAAGTCAATAATTATAAGCGAGATATTGGACTCGAGGACCAGAAACCTTGTCTCGGTTTCCAGGATTAGTGACTATGTGCTTTCAAATGAACTGGTAAGCATGGCTCTAGCTATGGTAGCTGAAGACAAACAAATAAACCGGGTCCTTGAAGAACTCTTTGCAGAAGAGGTATAGTAGTATGCAGTAGTTTCGCCTGATTTCTTTCTTACTGAGATTTGATTATTACTTCTTGGAAAAGCCACCCAGAGGAAGAAAAAAGTTTGTTGAAATGTCCATTCATTCATGTATCAAAATTGCTAAGAACCCACCACAGGTGCCCTCGCAGATGATTTATAGACGATAATCGTCTGTGAACACGATGATTATCGTATGCATATGTATAAAATTGTCTCTGATTGTCATCCGTGGGGGCAAACGTGGTGGGTTCCTAGCATGATCCTTCATGTACACATGTGCATGTCGTGTTTGTGCTGCATGCAGGGAAATGAGCTGTGCATCAAACCAGCAGAGTTCTACTTATATGACAAGGAAGAAATCTGTTTCTTTGACATAATGGTACGAGGCCGTCAAAGGCGGGAGGTTGTGATCGGATACCGCCTTTCTGCCACGGAGCGTGCCGTCATTAACCCTTCCAACAAGTCGGTCCCACGCAAATGGTCCATCGACGATGTTTTTGTTGTTCTTTCATCGTGTGGATGATGACATCTAACGTGGCACGACCCCGAGATGAGGCGATACGTTTGCAAGCCAAGTGGGGTGCCATGAAAAGCCGCAGTTGCAGGAATTTGTAGCTAGGTGTGGAGGAAGAAGAAAGAGGAAAGAATCGTCATTTTTTATAAAAATACTAGTAATAGTATATATCTGTCAATTTACTTACAACTATGAAACTGTTGTGCATGCAAACAAATTAAAGTCTCTGCATGAACATTAAATATTCATTGTAAAAACAGTCCAAAGGACAGAAATAGCTTGTTCATGATCCCCCCCCCCTCACTCTATTTCTTTTTTTTATTAAGTTTTCTCAATTTTGTACTCCGTATGTAACTATTTTTCAAAAATTCAAAATTGTCTATCTAATATTAAAAACAATGTCAATTTAAATGACTACAATAAAGAAAAAAATGGGAAAAACATTCTAACGGTCATTAAAACGGAAGAGTTGACTGAATGCTCCTTCTCATTCTTTAAAACAAAATGTAAGTATGGTGATGTCTTTTTAATATCAGAATAGAAAGACTTACGAGTTACGGAGTATTTAATTTCAACAAAACTTGGGTCATCCGGGAGTAAATTTCTCCAAATATTGTACCAAAATTGCAAAAGGAACTTTAAAAATATAAAGAAAAGTAAAACAATAATTTTATCTATAAGTCTTTAACTTTTTATAAAATTTATCCTGAAAAATTACGAAGTAAAAAATTGCAAAACACTACTGAGTATAAAATGTGTTTTTAAAATTCTTGTAGAAGAGAAAAAGGAAAATAAAGAGTTATCTTTTTAAAGGCGAATACAAAAAGAAAATAAGACATTTATCATGAGAGAAATAGAGTATAAATTTGTAAAAACGCCAATGCCTTAATAACTCGTATTTATTTATTTTTTGGTATAGTCGTCCCTCTATTTCCTATTAACTGTCCATTATAACTTATGATACATTGAACCAAGGGTGAATGTTGACATAATATATCATAATTACTCCGGGTACCTCAAATTTTATATTAAGAACTCGCAGGACCTTCACCAGTAAATGTTCTTCGTCTTTTTCCGCCAAACTTTCTTCTTATATTTCTGGTCTCCTTTCCGCCCAATATTCATTTGGCGACAATTTTCAAAAAACTAACACGGCCCAATGGACTCCTCTGTTCATAGGGTTGCTTTCTTTGCTTCAACCCCCTCACCCAACAAATCCCAACACATAAATAAAACCACGGAACATTCTAAAACTAAAAAAAAAAAATTGAAAAGAAAAAAAAACTAATCCTAAACAAAAATAAGAAATGTTTTATACTCTTTTAAATTCTTCTTTTTTTTAATCGCATTTTTCACTTTTTTTTCACTTTTTCGAGTTGTTATTTATTTCCAAGAAGAGTTGGTCTAAAGCCACCCGAGTATTTCTCTTTGCTCCTATAAAATAAATGACTTGAATGAAAAAAAGGGGAATGTCAACGCATCCGGGAAAAACCGATTAATTTCTATCAAGAAACCAGCTAAAAAGCCCAACGAAAGTGTGCTTAGCACTAGTTTGACGGATAGATATGTCTTAAAATCTCGAATAAAAATATCAGAGTTATCCCGAATTAATTATGAAAAAGGTAAAGTTAGAAATTCAAGTTCAAAGTTCAAACTAATACTACCTCCGTCCTATTGTCTTTGTCCACATTTGACTTTTGGAACTGTTCATCTAAGCATTTTGACTCATCAAATTCTTCTCAATGTGTAAGCCTAATTAAGTGGACAAAGACAGTAGGACGGAAGGAGTAAAATCTTAAATTTTAATGGTCATTTGAGGTACCTTCGGAATATATTTCCGCACATTTTAAACGTCCATGTCACCGTGTGATATATTTTTGAAAAATAATGAGACTGGAGAGTTTGTACCACAAAATAAAGAGTATCCCACACCAACTTTTTGTACCACAAGATGGATGGGGGGAGTCAGTGTGAAAGTCATGCACGGCCTATTACTGTTGAAGACCGACCCCCAGTGAGAAAGGAAAATAGAAGCGGGTGGACGTTGGACAATGACAAAGACAAGAAGTGTCTAGAAGGTAGGATCCGAGTTCGATTCCTGACAACTGTACTGGGAGACAACTATGCTAAATATAAGCCTTCTGCAAGTACCCGGTATAGACTCCACTTTTTGGCACCAATTTACGATTAAAGTCTAATTTATCTCATCTCAGTGACGGTTCGGTCGGATCCGAGGCAGCCTTGGGAGATGGGGCTAACTTTTTTTGAAAGGAAAATGGACGGAAGAATTTTACAGCTTTCACACTATTCATAGTTTCATCACACCATTCACACCCTTACATCTTTAACTTTTTACTATTTATACTTTTATCTTTTTTAGGTCCGATCAGTTTTAGAAGCCTGAGGTTCATCATTTTTCTTTTTTATGTTTCAAAGAGTTTTTTTTATTAAAACTATTTTTCACTTTATTTTCTTCTAGGTACATGTTAGTTGTTACTCTGTGTTTATTTAATTTCTTTCGTATCTAAACAAATTCAAATAGTAAACTTATCATATATATATATATGTTTCAATACTTCATTTATCTTATTTGTAGTATCTTTTTTCATATTTTGTTTTGGTATGCTTTTTCATATAAAAAAATCAACTTAATTAAAAGTTCAACTTCTGATGGAAGGTCCGGAAATTGTTTTATACTGTAACTCTTAGACAACTATAATAGTAAGAAATATTTGCATTAAATAGCACTAAAACTGTTTTATTTTCTAAATAGCACTTAATAATGTCCATAATATCCAGCGATGACAAATATTTACTTGAATAATGACTAATGCATAATGACTAAAAGTGCTACATTGGGAAGAAAAACACATGTAATGCTATTTAGGGAAAAACATTATGTTTTAGTGCTATTTAAGTAAATTCATCTAATAATAACTTGACTTGATTATTGTTCTATTGTGTTCTTAGTTGTGCTTGTACTCATCTCTATATATACTGTAGTCTATACTTCATTGATTTTTGAGTAATATAATTATTCCAGTATTCTATCATGTTATCGCAGTTGCGGTCTTCTTCCTCCAAACCTTAACTTTTCTTCGTTTGTCGCCGATATATGTTATTACTCGTATAACCAGCATCAGAATACGTCACTTGATATAAGGTTTAAGATTGATGTCTGTTAGAATATAGATAATTGTTCCTGGGCCACAATTACAAGCTTGAGCTTTTGGTTGAATGAGTTCCTTGACATGGTATCAAAGCCTTTTTGACTAAGAGGTCACGGGTTCGAAACTCAGCGCCACCCAGTTTTAAGAAAATCAAAAAGTTTCACGTGCAAGGCTCGAAAAAGACTACGCCTGCACGTGAGGGGGCGTGTCAGAATTTAAATAACTGTTTCTGGGCCACAACCACAAGCTTGAGCTTTTGGTTGAGTTGGTTGCTTAACATGGTATTGGAGCTTCGTTGACGAAAAGGTCACGGGTTTGAAACTCTGCGCCACCCTGTTTAAAAAAATTTAAGGTTTCACGTGCAAGGTTCGAAAAAGACTACGCCTGCACGTGAGGGGGCGTGTCAGAATTTAAATAACTGTTTCTGGGCCACAACCACAAGCTTGAGCTTTTGGTTGAGTTGGTTTCTTAACATGGTATCAGAGCCTTCTTGACTAAGAGGTCACGAGTTTGAAACTCAGCGCCACCCAATTTTAAGAAAATTAAAAAGTCTCACGTGCAACGCTCGAAAAAGACTACGTCTGCACGTGAGGGGCGTGTTAGAATATAAATAACTATTCATGTGCCACAATCACAAGCTTGAGCTTTTGGTTGAATGGGTTCCTTGACAATGTCAAAAAGGACTAATTATGGAAAAGTGCCCATAGAAGGACGGTGAGAATAATATTTGATAATGGAAGGCTAAATATGAAAACATTCTGTTATGAAAGACCAATTATAAAAATTAAATCTTTACTATATGCAGTATTAAATTTTATATTCATTTAATTCATAAGAAATTATTAATATACAACTTTTTAGTGATTTTTACTTTTTATTTTCTCCCTCTCATTTTTTTTTGAAATTTTTAATTTTTAATTTTATTTTAGTTTTGATTTTTCTAAATTTTATTTTTTATTTTTTTTACATAGATTATAAAATACTACTATCTTCCAAGAACAATGATTTTTAAAAAAATTAATTTTTCTTACACACAAGTCCAAATGCTAATCCTCTTGGCTTTTTAGATTTTGGCTTTTTGGATCAAAATTCCAAGTGAAAAGGCCATTAGTCAAACATTGATTTTGGCTGTTCACTTAATCAAAAAAGCCAAAGTTAGTCAAAGATGCCAAAAACTATCCGAAAAACTATTTTCCAAGCACGGCCTATATGTGCCACTATTGGAGATAGATGCCTAAAATTGATGTTCAAGGAAGAAAGAGGGTGAGAGCTGCTCAAGAGAGCACCGATGGCTAGCATTCAAAATTATGCGTGCATTTTTTTTGTAAAACAAGTCTCTTTTTAATAATATACTCTCTTTTCAATGTTTTTTTCTTTTTAATTTTGTTTACGTTTAGTGGTGCTACAATTCTATACCATTATTGTGTCCCCAAAATCTTTATCATTTTTTTTAAATAACCCTTTTTGCAAGTTTGTTTCTTTTTTTAACTTGTAGTGATACGTCTATTTGAAGTAGCGTTTCAATTGACTTGGTATGATCTGTACAATAAATAAATAAATACTCACAAAATATGACACCCTATTTTATTTTTAGTAATACCACCGTGTCTTTAATTTTTTTAACCAAAATTTTTTTAACAATAGAAAAAGTCATTAATAATATTTTTAATTATGTATATTATTTTTTAAAAAATTAGTTTAATTAATACGAAGTAATTTATTACTCCATATACAACACTCGTATATATAATATAAAAATTTATAATTAAAAATAATAATAGAAAAATTGTATTTGTATGTGAGTAAGATCCACCCAAGGCATCTCGGTGAGATGTCACCATTAAAAGATTTAGATGTTCAAAGAGATGTGACAATAATATTTTCAAAATAGAGCACTCGTAAGGGCACTGGAAATACCCATGAAGCCCTGAGGCTTCAAACCTTCTCTCTCTGGCACGTCAGCTTTAACTTAACTCACAATTTCATTGGAAATGAGTTTGAAGCCTCGGGGCTTCAAACCTTCATTTTTACATTTTAAATACACATCTTCTAAAATTAAATTCATTAAATTTAAATATTTTATTAT